CGCGCCTGCACTCATCCTGCGACGATGGCTGAGGTGTTGCGGGCGGGGATCCCAGAGTGCTGGAGGGTCGTGAGGACACCGGACTGAACCAGTTGTTGTAGGAAGCTTGATTGTTGTTGATGAAGGCTTCCGTGGACATCTCGAATTGGAAGCCGCGCTTCTCCAACGCCTCGATCACTTGAGCTTTGCTGCGAAGAGGAACAATGATGTAGTCGGAGAAGTAGGTCGAGATGAAGAAAATGGAACTGTCGGATTGTTAGTGGCAGTATAATCTGGTAGGAAAGCGAAAGACACGTACCTTCCCGCCATGGCCAGAGGACTGGTCAGTTCAAGCACCCGCTGGCCGGCTTCAACACCCTCTCCGTATACTTGCATGGCGATAAAGTCCTCATGGCTTATGGAAAAGGCGGCTCTGGGAGGTTGTATTGGCCTTGACGAACCGATCTACCAACGGGGCAAAGTACTGGTTGGCGAGATGTCGGGGGCACATGATGGAACATTCCACCGGGGTGATGGAGAGGTTCAAGAATGCTGGCTGGGCATGTACTGAAGTGCTGTTCTCGCCATTTTCCGAGTTCTCGTGAAGTGGCGGTACCTCATGGAAGAGAACTTGCATAATTGGGTATAAGAAGTACGGATACAGGTCCAGTGGGATATGGACCAGGGCCAGCCGATCCTCCTGTATTTCGACGACTGTGGTTAGCGAAACCAGTCTGGGACGGCCAGCATCCATGGCAAGGACATCAGAAGGGGGGAGTAATCTTAGATGGGAGACGAAAGGCGGAGGCGTGAAATTGACTTTGCACGGTAGATTGCGCGATTGACAGGGACGAAAGTACAGCAGACTTACCATGAACTGGACCTGGGCCGAGACGAGAGACAGTGACTGATCCATTGTCTGTTGCGGAAGAAGCGAACTGAGGTTGAGAGGTCCGGACCGTGAGGCACAGCACAGAGTGGAGGGTTTGAGATGAATAGCGGGACACGGGTCGTCTTGATGCAGAGATGTATGTAGCGAGGAGAGTGAATGAGTCAATGAATCTGATAAATGAATATCTAACCACCTGCGAGAGGTTCACCGGGATTGAGATGGATGTAAAGATCTCTTCTTGAGCTTTCTTTTCTTTTTCTGCTGGAAAGACCTGCAGTGCTGGGAACATGCCATCATCATTGTTCTTGACGAGCTCAGTTACGCCATTGCGGAAGGATATGAGATCAAGGAGAATATGCAAGAAGGTGATGTGAGTGACAATGCAGGGAGAGTTGTAACGGGTCCAATCGATTCCGAATTAACCGTGTCGTCGCCGAGGTTTCGAGAGAGGTGTCGAGGATGGAGTTGGAGGTGGTTGAGAGATGGAAATGCGGATGAGGGGGGGGAAATGTCGAAGGGCGGAGGAAGGCAGGTGACTTTGGTAGGTGACTTTGGTCTTCTGTCTTTCTCTTCCTCTCTTCTATGTTCCTTTCTCACGCCCTCTCACTTTCACACTCTACTCTCTTCTCCTTCCTGTCTCTTCTCTCTCGTTTTCTCTCGTTGGTATGTCAATCCTCCAAGTATGACTCGAAGAATGCTCCACCGAATGAATCACAGCCAAGATAAAAAAGAGCCAGCAAAGGAAACCTCGAAAATGGTCGAGTACAAGTGATATCCCTCTGCGCCAGCTGACAGAATGAACAACACACTCGTTCACGCAGCCCGCGAGGTTCTTATCCGGCTTTAAAGGGTTACCTAATTGTCGTTTGTACTGTGGTTCGTCTGGCCGGGTTTATCTTCCTCGAGTCTCCACCGCGAAACGGAAGGCCTTATCAGCAAATCTCCTCGATCGCCCCTCCGCGCTAGGCGCCGCTACCGACTGAGTCCGGCGCACGGTTCGACTCGGTGGCAGATGCTCCCCGCACTTTGCGATGGATGGTGTGCAAGGATTGCTGGGAAGGTTGAAGTTAGTCAGGCACCACCCTGGACTGCAAATCAGCGTCGATGATTCCTCTGCAGGTTGTGGCAAACCCTTCTCCGTCTGAGTCCGAACTCCTCACACAGCATCCACCCTTTTCCGGCTCTGAAGCGGCTGTAAATGGGAGGGAATGACGATGGTGGTGGGCAACTCTGGGACAGAGATAAGAAAGTGGACACTGGAGGGTCGCACGTTGTGAGTCAGTGGGGAACCTAGAAAAACACGAAATGAGAGGAACCCTTTGCACGTACCGCTAAGGATGTTACCTTTTTTTTTTATTTTTTTTTTCCCTCTTCCCTCGACACAGACACCAGCCAAGAACCTCCCACGATGATGCTACCATCGTCATAGCACGTTCTGCTGCGCCCCCTTGCTGCGGAATTTGCAGTGACCGGCTGAATCCCATACGTATGCTGGTTCAGGCTACCCATCAGCTCCAATGTCCTGTCAGCATCCGAGTCAGCCTTAAGATCCAAGGACCAAGCATGACCCAATAGAACATTGCTGAACGCACCCCAGAAATCGCTCGTGAGCGCTTGCAGCGCCCAAGGGATTATCTCTCATGACCGCGGCAGAGGTCCGTTCGTTCGGTTGGTTCCTTTGCCACAGACGGTCAAAGTACTACGCAGCTAGGCATATTTCCTGCGTCATGTCATCCATTCATCTCCATCTTAATACCCGGTGATATGGCTACTCCCTTCTGCAGCAGCCACACCCCGTCCGAACACCATGTACGCGTCCATTTGCGATCGATCCCAGTCACGCAAGCAATCATCCAATCACCCCCAGCCGCCCGCCCGGGTGATCTACCCGGGGCAACCCCTGGCTCATGGGCCGTAGATAGGCAGCTGTTTTGCAACCACTCGTGTACTTGCGTGCAGCATTTCGTCCTGTTATTCCGCGAGCCAACCTCCAGCCTCCTCCATGGGCTGCGGAAGGATGCAAAAGAGTGGGTGTTTTCTAAAATTTCGTGCATATCTCTCGGGTCGATCATGCCTATCACCGTCCTTCACTGATAATAGACTAACCGTGTCGGTGCCATTCAGAGTCACAGTCTAGAGATAGGAGGAAGGGAGCGGAAAGAAGCGGCATCCCAGTCGTTTTTGCTTTTCTACGAGATAACCACAAGAAACGATGGACAATCAAAGATTCAAGCATAGATGCGCATGGGGACCACATCAGCTGGAGACTCTGAGTAACGATAATACTCTTAAATTAGCTTGTTCTTGCAACGCCATCGGTCCCATGTGAAATCGTCATCCGATTTAGCCCGCACGGCGGTACCAGCTGCACTTCAAGATGGTCTTGGCCACTCAGGCAGGTGTCCTTGAGACACTGCTTCCATATGGATCCTGGAGTGGTCTAACTTGTTCTGGATAAATACAGCAGCTCAAACCAAAACGAGTCTTGTATCCTCGAGCTCGTTCAACCGCCTACATCATCAGTCAGTCAAGATATCGCCATTCGCACCTGTACATTCTCTAGCAACCCCGAACTTCCCTATACTATCGAAGACTGCCCAAGAACTGAACCATCCGACGGACTATCGACGGACGCGGCCCTGCTGACGGCCTCCTTTCAGCCACCAAATGATAAGCCTGCAAGGCGTTCGTCCGAAACGCATGCGTGCCACCCCATAAGTACAATCGAAACACGCGATACGTCTCCGCGCCCCAACGCGCGATGATCTGGTCGCTCGCCCTCTCCAGACGCCTCGCCCACTCCAACATAGTCAGCTCATAGTCACGCGTCTCTCTCTTGACCTCGACAATCTCAAACCCATGAAACAGCAGCTCCGCCATCACATCCTGGACCGTCATAAACGCGTGTGCCCCGGGCCAGATATACTTCCGCGTGAACGCACTTGCCGTGAACTTCTCGACCGCCGCCGACCCATCGAGATACAACCGGCCGCCCGGCTCCAACACATCCCACACGCGGTGGGCAAACCGGGCGTAGTTGGGGATGTGTTCGATCACGCCGTAGATAACGGCATGGTTGTACAGTGCCGTCGGCTGATGCACCAGGAAGTCCTGGAGAAAAACCTCGCCGGGGAGGTCCTTCTCGGCGATGAGACGCTGGATGTACCGCGCAGAGTCCGGGGCGATTGTCAGCGTCGTGACGTGCACGCCGCGCGCGCCGCAGTACTGCGTGACGCCGCCCCAACCGCCGCCGATATCCAGCAAGCGCATGCCGGGCTTGAGGACCAGCGCGATGAACATCGCCTCGAGCTTGCGCCCGGAGGCGTCTTCGAGGGTGTCGTCGGGCGAAGCGAAGATCCCATGCGAGTAGAGCCGATACCGCGTGTCCATGAAGGTGAGGAAGAAATCATCCCCGTAGCTGTAGTGGTCGTCGATGGCTTTGGCGTTCATCTGCGTGGTGCTCCGTAGGAAGTCGTATACGAATCGGACCTTCTGTCGCAGCGGGATCTGGTTGCGGAGCCGCTCCCTCGCGTCAAACAGAGCGCCAATGTCGCCCTCTACCTCGATCTCGCCGCTGATATAGGAACGACCGACGCCCAGTTCGGTCATTGGGGTGCGGAGAGCGCGCGCGGTGCGGAAAATCACACGGTAGCGTGGATCGCCGGTGCCTGTGGCTACGACGGTGCCGCCTGGGAGCTGGATTTCTCCGGGCGTATCGAGGCTGGCTAGCAGGGCCGCGAGCCCCGTGTGCGGAAGGCTACTGCGTGAGGTTTGGAGTGCCATATTGTTGGTAGAGGATAGATTTTGCATGGTGCCCGGGCTATGGGCTGTCCAGACCGTGTTTCTGTGTTTATCGAATGGTGAGATTGAGTGGACTGGTGTTGTTTGAGTACTACAGAATATTTCCGCATGTCAGACCAAGGTAAGGATATGGCTTGTCCAATCAAGCACCATTAGAATATATATGGCGGGTGTTATACTCCTTTTCAGTATAGATGATGAGCTGTCTTCCATTGCTGACGCAGTCGAGTGGATTTCGTATGTAGTTTGATTCCTGCGTCAGCCTGTATACTCGATATCAACCACTAAATGCCCACCGCTCCTCACTACCCCCATTTCTGCTATTGATTGCTTGTTTTAGTGTCTCGGATTTGCTGTCGTGGATGGTTCTGGTCTCCTAGTCCTGGATGGTGCAGAAGAAGCCTTGATTATTAGGTATATATCGTCCATCCATTCCCCCATGACGCATCGGTAATATACATAGCTTGACTAGAGCCTACATCCTCTACTAAAAGGACATGTAAGACGCAATAGAAAGGCGAGCGCTACTGAAAGGAATCCTCAAGAAGGCTGATAGCATTGTAGGTATGATTTGGGTTGCCTTCGGGGTTTGGGTGGAAGCTGTTGCGATGATATGTAGAACTATACAGGGACACATGCACCGTTTGCGACGGGGTGCCTCAATCCTACGAAGGCCGATAGCCGAGAGCAAAGGCATAGAGACTATTAGGGCAATGCTGTGAAACTGTTGACTCTTAATCGTGCTCTGATGACTATATAATGCATGATGTACGATGTACGACGCAAGACACACCAGCCTAGCATTCGGAGAATCAACCGAATGCTCATGAGAAACCACCCAATTAATCGCATGGGCTGCCTATTGAGCTAGTCCAGCTATATCTTGCCAAATATAAATGATACAGATCCGCCAATACCGTGCGAACACCACCAACCGACACGAATCATAAAGGCCTAATCATCATCTACTCTCGCGCGTTTCGACCCGCGCTCGTCGCGTTCAGCTTCCTGAATACCATAGCGCTTTTGTCCTGCACCGCCGGTGACATCAGCAATCATACTATCGATGCCAAACGGATCGGTTGTGTCTTTTTCGAACTGGACTGGACCGTCACGAGCCTACAGATAGTTGCATTAGCTCCCATAGCCTTGGTACTGTGCGGGTGAAAGAAAATCTTACCTCAGCATCTGCAGCTCCCCGGAATCCTTCCTTAGCTTTGCCCAAAACTTCGAATCGACTAGACTTTTGAATCTTGCTCATTTCACCCTCGGCACCGCCTTCGTCGTCATCGTCGATTTGCGCCCGGGGACGGTAAATGCTGTTGATGGCGTCCTGCGCGGCAAACAGCGGCTTATCGTAGGGGTTATCTTCATTAAATCCAGTGTCCAGTCCACTTGTCTGGTTAAACAGACGGGAGTCCCACATTGACTCAGACGATTGGGTTGGCTTAGCCAGGCCGAGCGCGACCTTCTCGGAAATATCACGGTTCTGCTCGCGGGCCATGGTCTTGATACGACGCTCCGTCCCCATGCGAGACTGACGGAGTTGACGCTCATTCTCCTGGCGGCGCTCGCGACGCATGCGCTCCCGCTCCCGTGCGGCCTGCTCATCTTCACTGGGCGTGCCCGAACGGGACGAGTATGGGCTGCGGCTAACGCTGCGAGACCGGGACCGGGACCGAGACACGGAGCGTGACATACGGCGACTGCTGCCCGCCATGCGCTCCTCGCGCGCCTTCTGGGCCAGCTGCCGGAGGTGTTCCTCCTTTTGTGCCTTCTCTTTCTCGGCCAGCTTCTGCTGCATTTGCGCGCGGAGTCGGACTTCCTCGCGTGCGTGACGATCCGCGGTGAACAGAGCCTCGGCGAACTGAGCAAACTTATCATTGATCGTGACGTCCTGCAGTCCGCGACCATCGGCTGCCAGTCGCTTATCCAACGGCACAGTATAACCCTTCGGATTCTTCCAGTTGGAGACAGGCGGGGGAATCTTCCAAGCCTCCTGGTCCTCGGCGGTGAGTTTCCGTGGCGGCGAATGCATAATGGGCGGCGGCGGCGATGGCGGGCCGCGAGGGATCTTCTTGTGTTTGAATTTTGGTGGCTCCATGGGATCTTGCTGGCGCTCGACGATCTTCATAATGCGGTCATTCTTGCGGGTAGTATCGCCCATCTGGTTGGCGGGCGTGTAACGCACAAAGGTCGGCTCAGCACGTCGTCCACCCTTGACGTTCTTTGGTTTCTGCGCTGCCACAGCACCCTCCACTAGGTTTGCCAATGCATTCTTCGTCTTTTCCATCTGTGCAGCGACTTCTTCCTCCGACGGCCGGTCCAAAGACACCTCCCCCATATCTACCCGCTGGCGGAGCGGGATGAGATCCTTAAACGACGCATGGACGATGCGGTCCTCGCCATGACCGCGGCGCGCGATCGCGTCGTACTTCACTTTTCCTTCGGCATCAACCTGCACCGTAAGCGCGTTCGAAGTACTGGAACTGCCCTTGCGACCCATATCGAGCGGATACTGTGCAACGAGAATTTCGGGGAACGCGCCTCCATCGCCAAAGTCTTCGGGCGCCCGGGGTCGCCATCCGGTGCGGTTCTGGTAGGGGGGAGGGCCGGTTCTCTGTCACTAAATTAGCCAAATCTTACTGCAAGAGTAGATACGTCGACCGTGTCATCACTCACCCTTAATACCACTTGTGTCTCATCGAGCTGGTCGGCGCCCACAATCCGCGGACCACGGGGTTGCGCGTGTTGTGGGAGCTCCTCCTCTTCGCCGGTATATTTCGGCTTGGGGAGAGACTTGAACAGTCCCTCCGCAACGGACGCCATTGTCGGGAGTGGAACTGTAGGGTAAATTGATGGATGGGAGGGGTTGTCTGGAGATAGGTTTGATACACGGCGTCACTGCTTTTTCTCTTCGGGCGGCGGCGTTGCACACGTGATCCGACCTGATTCCGTTTACATAAGCAGGTTATCATGCACGTGACATACAACTATTACAACAACTAGGCAGCCGTCCTACAACAACCTCATGAAGAAAAACAAGACAATTGATTCAACCTCAACAGAAAGACAGCCAGAATTCCATCATATGTCCTATCAATTTATCCGTAAATCCAGAAACAAGAATCAAACACCATTTGCAAATCCACTTCCACCAGCGTTTGTATCAATATGAACGGATTCCATCAGTCCACAGACTTCGAACAACTTCTTTGGACCCACGTTTTCAGGTGTTCCTACAACACCCTTAGTCTTCAGACGCTCTAAAGCTGCCTTGATTCCCAAGTATGCCGGGGCCAGCGACGCGAACGAGAAGATCATAATTCGGAACCCCATCTCTTTCGCCTCCTCGGTGGTGATCACCGGTCCGGCTCCATTTTCCACCATGTTCAGAAGCAGGGGCCATGGCGCAAGATCCTGAACCGCCTGTCTGGCCTGTTCTTTGGATGTAAAGCCCTCGAGGAGGCCGACATCGGCACCCAGGTCCCGGGCGGCCTTCAGCCGGCGAATGCACTCATCATAACCGTGCTGTTGAAGGGCATCGGTGCGTGCAATCAGAACAATATCCGAATGCAGACGATCTTTGGTTTGCTTGGCTGCGCGGATGCGGATGAGGTACTCATCCAGGCTCACCACGGCTTTGCCGGCCAGATGTCCACATCGTTTGTTCTGGATCTGGTCTTCAATGTGGAAGCCTGCAACACCCGCCTGAATGTACTGCTGGACGGACTTTGCCACCATGAGAGGACCTGACATACAGACATTAAAATTAGTCAATCCGGCTAGGGACACGTGGAAAGGGACGTACCGCCGTATCCCGTATCCATATCAGCAATCAACGGGGGCCCGAATGGGTCTAGGTTGGCAATCATCTCTGCATTGGTACGCATGTCATGCAGCTGAGCCAGTCCGAGATCCGCCATTCCGAGTCTCGACGCCGTTGTCCCAGCTCCAGTCTGAATGTTATATTAACCACTGTGTTGGACTTTGTTGCAGAACAACGTGACGCACCATATACATAGCCTTGAAGCCAAGGTTGATAGCAATCCGTGCGGATAAGCCATCATACACACCGGGACAAACGATCAACTCATTTGACTCGCGAAGTTGACGCCGCAGCTTGGTCGCACCCGTGAGCATGTGCACAGAGACAGAAGGCTCGTGTCTGACGCCGTTGACTTCATATACACCGTCCTTCTCCACGGTTATGGTAATTGCAATGTCGGAAGCGTTGATCGGGCCTTCGTCAACCTTCATTGTTGATATCGTGCGAGAGGCTGGAAACTGGGAAACGAGGACAAAAGAAAGAATAGTTCTTGATATTGAAACAGATATCTTCAATCCGTCTGCTGCAGACGGGGTTTATATATGTTGCCCCGGATGGAATATCACCCGTCGGAGCAGCCACCGAACCATTGAAACTCCGCTTTCCTGGGGTATTGTCGCCACGACGAGACTACTACCCAGACGACTGACTCTTGATACCTTCGTGCTGCGCCAAGGAGTATAATGGACTTATTTGGTAAGTCCATATTACTCACCCCTGACCGGTAATGGGGCATTATGCGGCCGGGCAATCATCGGCATGCAAGTGTTGAATGCGTGGTTGTAAGATGGAAGCACAACATATACTCTGTTCACCACCACCATCGGGGGCAGCTCACTGATTGGCAGTGTCATTGGTGGGGTATCTAGAGACAGGCCGTGCTTGTGGAAGGGGTCCGACATCTCGTGCACGACAGACAGGGGATCTAGCAGATCGGCGCAAAGCGAACTACTTCGGACTTTTCCGCGCAATCCACGTCTCGACTTCATACAAGATTATCATGCACTCAGCGCTCTCGGCATAATCTATCTCTTTCGTCACCCGCTTCAGGCGACAAGCAGATAAGCATGCAGAAAAGAAACACATCGGAGTTGGGTAAAGTACGGTTAATTTACCGTACCCTGTGTTGAATATCTGGGGTGGGATCTAGAAGATCAGAATAGGGCAGACTACTTCGGAACTTTCCGCGCAACCTACGCCGATTTCATACAAGATTATCAGGCACTCAGCACCCTCGGAATAATCTGTCTCTTTCATGACCCGTTTCAGACGACGAACAGACCAACAGAGGAGGCATGTCAAACCATATCGGAATTGGATACAGTACGGTTAATTTACTGTAACCGGTTTGCCTGAAGTCTGTATTGAAACTCTCCGAAGTCCGGCGGAGCGCACTACAGGGGGTGGATATCTACTTACAGACGTCTGTTGAGTATACGTTACTTTAACCCCGTTAGGTTGTCAAAGCGTCTGAGCGGAGTCTCCACCACTCTATCCGGCTCGGAATGACCGAGCTGAACAAGGTTTGCGCCAGGAATAACAAAGAGTTTGACCCTGAGCAGCCTCCGAACCCATTTTCATCAAGGTTGTCGCAAGGCAATCAAGACCTTCACCTGCTTGGGAGGCGTATCAGCCGAGCGTATGGTAACGCAGAATTCCATCATCTTCTGCAGTACCCAGAGTCTGGGCAAAGCAAACTTAGGCCTTGGCGTCACGGGAGATTACCCCTACCCGTTCTCTGAGTGGAACGGAGCGTGCGGTTGAGGGAGATTCGTCTGATTATCCGGCAGATCAACAGCTCGGGGAAACTGACGCGATTCTTGGCTTTCAACCAACCCCTCCGATGGCGAGAAAGGGTCTCGGAGGCCGTATCGGGAGTTCCTCCGGTCTTTGTGCAGAGCCAAGTGTCTTGGCTTGAGGGAGATGGACCCAGCACGCGCCGGGTGGACGCCGGCACGGTCAAGGTCGATCTCGAGGGAGATAGCAACAAATTACCCAATTGGCCCTGGAGATCTGACAGACGGTTACATCCGTCACTGACATGAAAATCTTCGTCAAGGGTGGACTCGTATTGCGTGGCCACGGCGCAGCTGAATGGCACATCTGCAGTCAGAAGAGGGGTATGTGGTCTCGTCTTCCATGACTTTGGAATATGGAATGTGGTGCCAATATAACCACAGGGGGTGGAATCTATGATCTATGCCAGCCAGCCATCACATTCGGTCTGGGCTTCTCTGGCAAGCGTCTTCCATCCCTCACAATGGATCGAACCCTCCCCAAAGGAAACTGGCTTGAAAGGCTGAGACCCGACATCAGTCCTGCGCACGCCGACAAGCTGTTACATGCGTGCTGTCTCTGTTCAGGGCTGGTGGACAGTACCCTCTACAATGGTGAGCCCTTTACGTTCCTCTAAGCGGATGATGGAAACTGACAGACGCAGCCTACAATACCTTCGTATCAATGCAAACTGGTACCCTCCCCTAACTCACAACTCATCCATCCACCTAGCTCACTATAGCTACAGGTAACACCATCTTCGTTGGTCTGGGAGCCTCCAATCAGAATCAACGGCCGTATGGCTGGGCTCGGTCCCTGACTTCCATTGGATCTTTTGTCCTCGGGTGCTTCTTGTTTGCTCGTCTGAACAGCACCCTGGGCGCCAGGAAACGCGGCACCTTAGTGCTCACCTTCTTTCTTCAGACAACCATGCTCATAATCACCGCGGCGCTAGTCCAGAGCAGGTCTATCCCGGGTATCCGGGATCTCGCCGGAGATAGCGCGGAGGTTGAGTGGAGCCAAGAAGCACCCATCGTGCTGCTGAGTATTCAGTCAGCAGGACAGATAGTTGCTAGCCGTGCACTCGGCTACAACGAAGTGCCGACGGTGGTGATCACCAGCCTATTGTGCGATCTGGTATCAGACCCGAAGCTGTTTGTTCTTCGAAACGCCAAGCGGGACCGGCGTATGGTGGCTTTTACGCTGACTCTCGTGGGAGCCATTGCAGGCGGTTGGATCACCAAGGCCACTGGAGATATATACGCTGTGCTGTGGCTGGCGGCAGGTATCAAGTTTGTCAGCAGTATGGCGTGGATGTTCTGGGAAGAGGATAACAAGGTATGAACCGTGTGGTTGTATAGCCTGCGACACGGAGTATAGAGATGCGATATTTGGGGGCTGCTGGCTGGGAATCCTTCCTATATTAGAAAAGATACAAGCTCTCTTGGTAGGGGTTAATTTTCACTTTTTCCGCAATGTGGCGGCGTCATCTTTTGATCCTTCTCAATGCCTGCATGTATAATCGCAGAGTAGTATAGCCCCTCCCGAGAAGAGTATTGACTCGGACCCTTATGCGACTCCGACTCCGCTAGCCGAGAGGACCTTGCTATAGTATGAGCTCATATAGTACTCCGTACAAAAGCATGATGCCTAGGGTGATCATCAGACATGATGCTTTGGTGTCATCGTGGGTAACATAGAGTTCACGCCACAAGCGGCATGAATCCCTCGGAGAAGGCTTGAGACTCGTAATCAGCCATGGCGCTACAGATGCTACGGTGGAGAACAAAGTTATTGTTTGTGCAATGCTTTCTGCCTGCAGAATGGTTTACGCGGCAGAAGTTGAGGGATTTCCCGATTGGGATGAGTATAGATCAACACTCACGATTTCCTTGCAAGATGCACTGTGCTAGCTCAAAAGGCAGAGCACACTATTGTTTCAATTAACGTGAGTCCGCAATTTTGATTCTTGCGTCTGGGTGTCCTTTTGCTCGTATTCTGTTGTTGTCTTGGACCTAGGTGTTGGTGTGTGACTGAATACCAGCCGGACTAGCTCAATTGGCAGAGCGCACGATTATGGACCTTCGGGTCTGAGGCTCGTGAAGGTTGTGAGTTCGATTCTCGCGTTCGGTCCGTAGTCTTGTTTTTGCTGCTCTAGCCTTGTGTTTTTGCTGGTTGAAGTTCTGGTTGTGAAGCTACAGCGGGGGATTCCGTATTCGGCACGGCATGCCTTGAAGACCACATTCGGGCAATATCCATGAGAGCGTTAATATTGAACTAATTGAATATGCGACTTTCTATATAATCGAGATTCATGCAATCAAACAACCAGTATCACCTCGCTTGTGGGAGTAGAGACCACCCAATAGACCGTACCGACTCATTTGGACACCGCTTCCACTGGGAGACCATCTCATGGACTTCCGTTTCACGTTCGTCCTCGTGTAGTTTCCACCTCAGCAACACAGCCTGCGCCAGCCAGACCCTCAAGTACTGTACAAGGGCATCTGGATGCGATTCGTACCCTCGGCCAATCTCAAGCACACATGGGCGCGCGTCCTCTTTCTCCAAGCGCTCCATGGCTTCTATGAGGAAAGCCTTATCTGCGAGATACGTCGGAGAGGCGGCGCATTCTTCGACCAAGGTGATCACGCTGGAAGCAAACGTCTCGTAATGGGAAGGGAGGTCTGGGCAGAGATGCGGGTACGGCAGTAGCAATGTCTGCAGCTGGAGTTTGGCAGGGAGAACTGGAGGGCTGCGATGGGGATCGTTGTTCCATTCCTCAGTCCGAAGAGCATGTACATCCGCTATTATTCGTTCCACAATCGGCAAGGCTTCGGCTCGCATCGCTGCCTTGGTTATGTCTAGATCCGATAGTAGGTTTGTGAACCACTTCTGAGATACCTCGACGTGACCGCACACAAATTCGAAGGGGTTGCGGACGACAATTGCCGCACACCGGACAATTTCCTCCGCGATAGCTTCGGGTGTGATGCCGTTGGGGATCTTCGGTTCTGTTTTGCGTCCAAGCTCATACCTCAGCAGAGCGACATACTTCGTTTTCGCGTGACTGTCGAACCACTCTTTCCAGTGCTCGCCTGCGTTGGTTGTTCGCCATGATCGGTCTTGCTTGGTCAACTTTTCTTTGATGTTCCGGAGCTTCATACAGTCCAGATAGCTCAGAGCCCACGACCGGTGCTTGAGAAGGTACTCCCGGGGGAGGTAGGAAGAATAGCAGTCCACCACTGTCCTAAGCACATTTGGCGCGAACGGGCCAAAGTCTGTTACGGACAGCTCTTCAGGCGTGAGCTCAAGTCGAGAAAGGAATCGACGCATCCAAAGATTGTGTTGTCTTGTCGATTCTTCAATGAGTGGTATCAGGGTCTTGTAGGTATACTGTACATGGTACTTTGACGGAAGCATGCGGTAGGCTGTTCCGGTGAATATGTCGAGTAAGGGCCGTTGAGAGTCAACCCGTGGAAGCTGCGCCTGCTCTGATTGCACCCAGTTCCCTGACCCGCTGTTTTCGCTGGGCCCTGCGGCATAGGGTGCCAACGATGTGAAGATTTCGTATGCTTCGTCTGCGTCGTCGTACTCTCTAACAACATCGAGTAGAGCCCTGCACACCATCACTCGCACATCAATATGCTTGCTGGCATAAAATAGGTCTTTCAGAGCGCGAGTCACGAAAGAAGAAGACAGGCCAAATTTGTTTTCGGCCAGCATTGCACCCAGCATCTTCACGGTGGTGATCTTGATACCCGTCTTCTCGGACTTTTCCCGACCAGACTTCGGGCTTGCAGCTTCTCTCTGCTTCCGAAGCGCCTCAAAGACATATGCAGTAAATTCGTGCATAATCTGCTCTGCCGTTGCGCGGCTGAGGATTTTCCCGAGTGACGAAGGGAAAGCCGTCCGGTGCCATGAGGATGCTTTGGGGAATAGCTCCAGCGCTTTCAACCCCAGACGCGCAGCCAGTTCGGGCTTGTCGGACCGCCGGACAAGGCTCATTGTTCTGAAAGCACATCGCTGGACCAATGCATATTTCGGCGACTTACTTTCCAGCTCGTCAAGGGTCTCCATGAGGGACAGCGAAAGTTCATACAGAAGGCTAGGCGGGACAAGTCTCACCAAGCCATTAAGTACAGAAATGGCGGCCGTGGCCGCTTCTCCCTGGTCATCAATGGACGACAAGAACTCGTAGTCAAGGTGGGCCGACGGATACCGACAAATGTCTGCATCTTCAGGGAAGGTCTTGGATAGAAGTCGTGCCGAATTGTGGGTTAGGCTGTTGAGAAACAAAAGAGCAGAGACAGTAAGAGCTTCTTTGTGTTGGCATGGGAGTCTTCGAGGACCGTACGTGGGCCGCCATATGTCGTATGCTTCAGACTTCGCAGTTGATTTCCACGCGTTTGGATGAGAGAAGGCCAGTATCACGGCTTCCAAAGAGCCTTGCTGCTTGGTGGCAAAGAACTGATGCTGCAACAGTGTCTCCTCCCAATGTTTTGTTGAAAAGTTGCGTGTAATCTCTGGGCGAGGCTCCCATTCAAAGCTAGGCGAGTCGCGTGACATACTCTGAAATATGTCTAGCGAGGGCAATTGAATAGGATCGATGATTCTTGCAATTTTATGCAAGCCTCTGGGTCTCAGAAAGGAGCACAGGTACTCCTGTAGACTCTCTATATGCCCCGCAGAAGATGGAACTTTCTCCGAGTAGTGCCTCCATATTTCCAGTATGCGTGTGCCCCGTTCTTCGTCAGGCCCGTTGCCGATGTAGAAGCTGATAGCAAATTTCAAACTGTCCACGAATGGCCCCAAGCGGTGATTCTCTTGGTCTATCTTCTGGAGGGCTTTACTAGCATCGCAGAAGACAACCTCCGTGACTCTCTTCTTAATAAAGCTGTTAACCTCTTGAGACTTCATCACCTCGATCGTCCATTTCTTCGTAGGAAACAGATACTGAAGAGGTAAACCTCGGGGCAACCCTTCGGGGAACGATGCGGTTTGGGGGTTCCGTAGAAGACGCTGCTGAGCCCAAAGTCGATCTCGTTGCTGTGCAAGCGAGTCTAAAAGCTTCAGTACCCCAGTTGTTGGGTTCTGCGGACATTCCATTCCATGAAGCGCTCCAGACAATCTTCCCCAGCAAAGGGCTTCGTACCCTTCCGTAATGCCCACACTTTCATATTCTAACACAATCGGCACCAGCTTGTTGAATAGAGTGTCCACTACCTCCTTTTCGCTTCCTAGACCACGTCGACACAAGCGCTTCACCGCGTTTATTCGCGTAGAAACGATGATCTCAAGCAAAGAGCCGAATTCGCTATCATGATAGCTTTTGTGCCAGGGCTCTTGAAAGACTAAAAGAGCCTGTTCCATAAGATTATGCAGTGCCTCATTAGCAGTTTCCACATTGGCCGCAAGGTCGGCTAAAGTTGGCGACACCACGCAGGACAAGACGGATGCGACGTCTGCCGCGTAGATTCTTCTCACGAGCCACGGTCTCACTAACTAGAGATAACATATCAGCAATCGACAGATAAATGATAGGACATGGGTATAAGCTTACCGGATCTCGCACAAAACGGGATGTCCAACACAAAACGTCTTTCAAGAATCGAACATTTTTGCTCAACACTGCGACGCTGACCATAAGACGCGCCCACTGTTGTCGCTCACCAGCATCGCGGGCTTTCACAGCCTTCAGTTTGATGTCTTCGATTACTGTATAGAGCAGACATCAGTAAGACTCCAGTCGACAACAAGACCAGGGTCGACTCACTTTGACGTGTCACTGGATGATCAGTACTGGCCAGTTTCTTGCTTTTAGACTCTAAATGCACTAGAATCATGCTCTCCACGAATGAAGAGGAGTCTCCTGCGACCGCTGGCCATTCATACGGGATGGACGTGGTCAAGCATTTCGCCGGCGACAGCTGTGCCGCGCGTTCAAATAGCCACCTTGCATCCTCTCCGGGAAGAGACAGGAAGAATGATGAATCCAATGGCAACAGCTGTTCCTCGTCTTTCGACGGTGTAGGTTGGTCCAGATCTATTTCAAGGCCTCGCATGTGCTTGCATATAATCTTGAGCAAGGGTAGCCTTGCCTGTGCCATAGTCTTGGGCAAGACGAGCCTTAGACACGAGCCGAGTTCGGTTTTTTGGATCGTCCCGAAGATCGTTCGGAGCATTGTCTCCAGAGAGTCTTTGTGAGCCTTTTGTGGCCTAGACGGATGCAGTCTCTCCCGGTGACGTTCAGCAGCTGCATCAGAAAACGACTCTAGATACTCTTCCGGGAAGGCGGCCATGGCCCAGAACTTTACCAAGGCGTGTATGAGTGGCCTCCATTCATGCAGTTTTCGTTCCGAATGACCCAGTGCTGGTATTACCTGCTCAAGAAATGCGAGAATCTCGTCGAAGGGCACCTTTAAGCGCCGGGCGACGCTCAGAGTCTTGTCGATGCAGAGAATGCGGGTGTCCCAATGAACTTCGCGCGCCTTTTCTGACTCCCCACGAGTACTGTCGATAAGGTCCAAGGTGATGTCTATTGCCGGTATGCTAGCCTGCCCCCCACGAAAGTTTTTTGATTCATAAGGCTCATACGATGTGAGGATAGCAGACAGATGGCTATTCAGCAAACGCCTCCGAATGGGAGGATAGGCTGGAACCGACCCGACGGCGATTTTTCTTAATAGTGGCATGTGAGAGTCGACCAAATGCCGCATCAAGTGGTCAATGAACTCATCGGACCAATCTGTTGCAAAACATTCGATTACCGTGGCATCGCTGGATACGTTGAACAAGGCTACCAGGTCTTTAACGCGTAGTAGCTGTCGCGAGCCGTCAGGCCGGGTCCCGGCGGAGGAGGAGTTGAAGAAGTTGGGAATCAAGACGTGAAGCAGCTCGTCCACCGCTTGCGATTTGGAGGCATCGCTGGTGTCTGAGCATGCGCCGATGGCTCTCGCCAATCCCTTGGCCTCTTGAACGCTAAGCTTCTCAAAGATCACCTTCAAACCGGCCGTGCCTCCGACCGCGTTCCAGCCCTTCTCGCGCCACTGGTCTGTTCTCAAGGTGCATTTCAAAACGTTCATGCCGGCCTGGCGCACACCACGCGAGGCCTCATCGCGCAGGGCGCTCTGGAGGACGCCAGGGAATCTGGGATGGGCGTTGAAAAGCCATATGGAGAAGATCTTGGGAGTAATAGCTCCATTATGGACACATTTCAATAGATACCGGTTAGTCTCGAAGACCTGTGTTTCTGAGACATCTTCTGGGAGTAGAGAGCGGAAGTACTCCGCTGCCTCTTTTGGGCCGAACCAGGGGGTAAACACCGTTGGATTGACGGCCATTTTTCACGGGAATATGGAGTAACTGAGAGGATCCATGACGAGAAATGAGCGATGCACCTCTTAAATCTAAGCCTCCAAGTCATGCTCGGCTGATATAGCTAAAATTGTAGGTGACTCATGTGGGGGTGGGGGCGAAATCCTGGTACTAAGGTACTACAGAGTAGGCAAGGTAGTATCGCTAGTAGGAACTAAGGAGATCGGGTAAGACATTTGTCCGACACTCGAAGCCTCTATGCTCATCATCAAGCAGATATCAACTCAAGTCCTTCATAGATATCTTTCCTGGTGTAGGTAGAACTCGGTCTATGTATATAGAATACAAGTCTCAAGATGTGGGAGGATATGTCAAAATATGAGTGGTGAGCGCCATGCAGAATCAAAACAATAGAGAGAAGAGATACAGCGTCCAAAGCATCAATCAGGGAATAATACATCGACCGTAGAAAGCATCTGGTCAGCCAACAAGATGCGAACGCATAGGACAGGCGACACCCTCCGCGTCCGTGGCTTCCACGTAATGCTCCTTTCCATGGTATCGATACCAGATCTTCAGCGTCTTGGGAAGGAGAGGCGCGGGATCATGGAACCCAATGATATGAAACTGCAATCGGTTAGCCAGAGAATAGGTCACAGAAGAGCCAGAAGACAAACCTTGGTGGTGTTCGGGGGAATCACTAGCTGCCCCCGATCAACCAACGCAGCCACCGGAATAGTAACATCAGCCGCCTCATAGCCCTCCATCTTGCTGCTCGTCTTCTTCTTGCTCTTCTTCAAGGGCTGTGGAACATATTCGGCTTTGGTGATGACCAGCCCATCCTGTTTCTCCTCCCGGGCCTGCCGTCGTTGTACCTGATCTCGCATCAGCTCAATCGCTTGCTGGCTCTCTGCTCGCTTCTTTGGGATGAGCTTCTTCAGCTCCTTCTGGCGGCGCGCAATAACACGCCGACGCTTCTTGCGCTCGCGCGGACGGATGAATCCGAATTCAAGCGCGCAGTACGCAACCCACGGGAAGAGAATGGCCAATGCGGCGGAATCCGCATTGACCGCATCTATAGGACAAACAGCAATGGGAAGCCGGATCCTTTGGCCCAAGCGGTTCCACGAAACCGTCATGACGATGCCACGGGCGCCTTCAACACCGACACCAACACCCATCCGGGTGAACTCTCCCACCTGACGCGTACCCTCGATAGACCACCCAAGGGACATATCAAGACTGAGGGTGCTGCGGACCTCGACTCGAACTGAACGGGGTTCATTCGCCGGTGGTAGTGGATAATGGCCCTCCGAACTCCATTCCGACCGCGCCGGGTCGTTCGCCGCAGTGCCCGAGAAGATATTACGAGCATACATGAAAGACAAGGCGCTGCCCTGGGGAGATGCAGCCGCGACTACCTGCCAGGCTTCCGCAGCCTTGTCTTCAGCGCGCTGCTGGGAGCGGACCCGTTTGTACTCGACGTCCTCGTCCTCTTCTTCGTCCATATGATCCTCCTCATCGTCTTCGTCATCCATAGGCGCGGTATTCTTCGTTGAGCGGGGGCTCGACATGATCGCAAACGAGAACTGGCTCATCTCGGTAGGAGCCGACAGCGCCGAATCTATATCAATTCCCATGGGGACCAACGGGTTGAAGAACTCCTGCACGGCCTCCGGCCAGGTGAGAGTCCCACTCGACCAGTTACAGACGGCATGCTTCCTCTCGCCAATCTGCTTCGTCAATTGGAGCCCAATCGATGGTGGACACTGATTCAGCGATCGGTTGAAGGTCGTGCTGAGGTTGACACTGAACGGTTTCGTTCCAGGGACAAGCGTCACAGCCTTGGCCACGTTCGTTCGCAGCGACGGCGCAGGCAAGATCCCGGCGTTCACAGACACCCCCGTATAGCTAAGGAAGGAGAACGGCCGCCAGTTGAAGATTCCCTTCTTGCTCGAGACGTCTCCAAAGATCTTGGTCACACCCGCGCCCAGCGCCATCTGCTCGGAGACGAGAATGGGCGGTAGCGGCAGCTTTCGCTCTTCCGTCGTTCCATCCATATGCGTTATCGTTGCCTTCTGTTTCACGCGCTTCAGCGGGCCTCCCACGCTGGCCGTAATCGTCATCTGCATCTCTTCCTCCTCCATCACGTCGCGCTTCTGCTCCTCGGCGGACCCATCTGTTGCGGCCGCCTTCTCCCCCTCCTCCTCTGGTTCCTCCTTCTCATCGTCCCCTAACAACTTCTTCAGCGTCGGTACGGGGGCTTTGAACGTGTATCCGACGCGATAGCTCGACGGCGACGGCGACGGGATGTGCAGATGTGTTTCGCCCTCCTCGGCATCATACGAGATCAACGACGAGGCATTGATGCCAACCGTCAAAACGCCCTACAACAGTCAGTTCATCAACCCAATCACACACAAGGGCCTCTCCAAAGGAAACCGCGGAGAAGCAGACCAACGCACCCGACTCTGCACCAAACTATTCACCGCCCTGCGCTCCCTCCTCTTCATGGACTCCAAAAACCAGCGCCGAAACTCCTCGGGGGATTGCGCCCGCACACCCAGCTGACGCTCGGCGTCGCCGCCGCGGCCCATGACGCCGCCGGGGCCCCATTCCTGCCGCACGCCCTCGGCGCCCAGGAGGTCGTAGACGGTCCGTTTTCTCGGGTCGATGAGGGTCTCGTAGGCCTCGCGGATGCGGGCGAAGTGGACCGCCGCCGCCTCGTGCCACTCGGCGGGCTGCTTGTCCGGGTGGAAGCTGAGCGTCAGCGTTCGGTAGGCGGACCGAATCTCCGCGTCGTTCGGCGGCGGGGTCCGCGACAGGCCCAGGAGCGCGTAGTAGTCGGCTTCGTCGGGGTAGTCCATCACCAGGGAGTAGTCGGCGTCGTCGGGTGGGTCAGCATCGTGCGTCGTACCCCTATTATTAGTAGGGTCGCTATCGGGAAGGGTAGCGGTCGTGCTCCGGGAGCGTGCTCATGCTGGGCGCCTTTTATCGTCGGCCCTCTCGTCCGACCCCCTGCTGCTGCGGCCTGGACGGGATGGCGGGTCGATGCGGACTCTGGCTCGGTCTGGGTCACTCAATCACGATGGGTATGCGCTGGGCGTCAGGCCATGGTCGCGCGTGGGAGGGGGATGGGTGGTGTTCACGGAGTGTTCGAGACGGTTGTTCCGGCCACTTTTGGCCGTTCGCTTTGCTTTTCCCTCTTTTTTATGACGTCGGGAAAGGCTGCCCCGCTAAGCCGTTTTTGGTAACGAATACGTCCACGGACTATTCAACAAAACGGTTTGTTGATTGAAGCTATCAAGCAGATGCATCGGACGTGATTGAGAACTAACTCACTTCGACCTAGAGTAAAGGTGTAAGGAATTATTATCATCAAAAAAGTGCTACAGCGGGATTCACCCTCAATTCCTCAGACAGCAAAAAGGAAGGCCCGAGCCGCATTGAACGCGGAACCTCTCGCAGACATGCTTGGGTGTTTCCATAAGCGAGAATCATACCATTACTTTAGCCATCCAGGCTGGTTTTATTTCCACGCACTTTAAATGCAAACAGCTGCTCTTTGTCAGGCTCAGGTAGACTACGTTTAGGAAAAACGTTCGTGGTGGACGTACGCAGACGGCCGTATGCGCGTGTGGGCAACTTGCTGTACAGATGGACTTTTGAATAATCGGGTATACACGGGATATGGCTGCGGACAAGGGCCGGGAAGCCCTAGGAAAGATGCTTGAATGAGTATACTCAAAACACTTGTGGTAGCAATTATAGTACAGTCAATTGATTCACCATGCATCTCCCATGTCCATCAGTCATAAGCATGGGTTGCTAGGATCCCTGCCAACAGAGCACACAAACAGAAATATACATAGAAGAGAATAAACAAACCACGGGGTATACTAGACAACAACAATGCCACATCAGTTTGTACATTACATATGCCACCAAATACAGACAAGAATCGAAGAACAAAAAGAATATGCGCATTCAGCTGGATTCTCCGATCCAGAGAATGTGCTCATCAGAAAATGGGACATTTCCCACATCCAACGCACGGAAAAACCGCTCGCGCGGCAAGCCCCCATACATGAGATCCTCGCTGCCGGCGAGGTCCTGTTTCTGGGCACTCGTGCGGATCTGGCTATCCAAGGACGGGCCATTCATAAGGAAAGCCACCTTGCCCTCGGCGTCCAGTGGGTGCTGGACGCACTCAACCATGGCTTCTAGCCTGTTTTCCACGAGGGACACCAGGGGAATAGAGCCGTCCCAGAAGCGACTGAGCTCCCGGACAGCCACGAGGCCATCTTTGATGAGGTTGACACACTCGGAGAGCTCAACCATCAGCCCACCGGCGCTGAGAACATCCACGGCAGACACGATCACGTAGCCCAGGAAGGGATTCAAGAGTATGCCCCTCGGCTGCGCTGCGTCCAAGACCATCCGCGAGGATTCGTACTCCGCTGCGTAGCGGAACAAAGCAAGGCAGAGCCGGAGAACCTCCACGGCGTGGCTGCGCGTGGTGTGGATGTACCGGTCAAGCATGCCATCGGGCAGGTTCTGGTACCGAGCGTGGCGGTTCAGCTTCATCAATGTCGCGTGGAATAGCATGTGAATTGAAATAAATGCATCCGCTTTCTTTGCGCGAATGCTGCGCTGCATGTTTGCGGCCGTGAAGGCCAGGTCGTCGGGTAGTCTCGCGATCCACTCCTCTGATCGCCGGACAGTGGTGGAGTGGAACTCCTCGAACAGCCGGCTGTATGCCTCAGCGGGGATCAACGACAGCCGGAACACGTGGTCAGACACATCACCCCAGAGAGACAGAATATCTATGAGGATTGCCATTGTGCTGAGGCCAGAGTATTCGTCTTCCGGTGACACGGGCAGCTGGTTCAGGAAGTTTTGAAAATAAGGGACGGTGGTGTACTCCTGACGCTCGTAAACCTCTTCCCGGCAAGGAAGTCTCAGAAAGGCCGTTTGTGAAGAGATAAATGTCGAGGACGGGGTATAAAAGCATGACAGACGCTGCCGTGCTATATCAGCGCACATCACCAGTTGAACACCAGAGTGGAATACTTACATCCAGCAAAAACGCAATCCAAAATGTGCGCCGCCGACATTCAATCAACGCCTGGGGATGCAGCCCATACTCACACGGTTGTGTCTGCTCCACGATAACTCCACCCGATTCGACATTGTACCGTAGCCCGCTCACTGTTCGAACCGCCGCTCCCACGGCATCCCACGACTTGACATGCGCACCAATGGCGTAATACCAAAGACTCAGGATGATCCTACTCTGAGCCAGCTGCAAGGAAAGATTATGCTGGCTGTGTTCGACCGCGTATCGCGCAGTACGAGAGTATCTTTTCAACGCCTTCAGCCGATCTGGGCGATCGGAAAATATCGAGCCCAATGCCATCATCGAATAGAGTAACATGTTATCGTCCAGGGACTTCTTATCGGATGACTTCAGCCAGAGGATGAATGGTCGCCGGGGAAAGAGGTAATAAAGTCGATCGTTCACGTATGTGAAGTAGCTTTCAACGTAGTGGACGGCCAGTTCTGGGTCCGCTTCGTATGGATCGATGCTCCAGTCGCAGGCGAGGGGGTCCTGAGGATCCAGATCCTTGATCTCCATCAAGATCTCGCTGTAATCGGGGGTTGTATTAGGTCCAAGATTTCTGGATAGTCCCTCGGCTCCGATCGACACGCGACCAAAGCTTTGTGTCCGGGGCTTGTATGGGTACTCAGACTCTCCTAGACTCTCCTGCGTGCTGTCCATCGCAGAAGGTGTGAGCATAGAGCCGTCAGAAATAGGGGACTGGGAATTAGTCCCGGGTAGAGACGTCGCACTTTCTGATGCCCGTGGCAGGGTATACAATGAGTTGGAGGAAACGGAGAAGTTGTAGCTTCCAGAGGACAGGCTGTCTCGGCGGTCAGTCCGATTGGCAATGTGGGATGCTTTCAAGGCTCGATGGCCCCGGGGTCTAGCGCAGTGTTAGAATCGTGATTGATTCGGAATTTCAGAGTGAACCTCTTCACTTACGCGCTCTCAAACCGACACTCCCGTCCGGATTTCTGACACTGATCACATTTCGGAAGATTCGGCTGGCACTTGATCTTCTTTTCTCTGCAAGTCAGACATGCTTGTGCTAGTCTCTTTCTTGGTTTGCCGGCCTTGGTGATCCCCCAGTTGGCGTTAACCGGGACGCCGTCGATCACTTTAGGACAATGAGATCCGTCCGCATAGATGTAGCACAAGCCCTCCCCTTCTATATATCTCTCGTCCACAACGTGCGGGCGAACTTTTGCCTGTTTGTTTCTATTTGATGAAGGCTCTCCAGGATCTGCGGTATCCATTGGGGTACCATCTGATTCCCTCTCAAAGGTTCTGAACCCATGGCTTGGATTCGCGCCGTATTGTAAATGTTGCACCGCATAGCCCGCCTGACTTGCGTGATTGGGCTGTCCCTCGCGCGCAAGGCCTAGCGCAGAGATCTGAGAAAGTGGGGGTAGAGACCCGGTCTGGGAACCAAGATCCGATGGGACGCGAGAGAGATCATGCACCCCATTTCGGCGAAGGACGGGGGATGGCCCCGTGTCGTTATGAAAGCTAGGTTGTGGGGAGCCCTTGTTCCCGTTGGGAGACGTGTAGATACCGAAGGTAGTGGGGTTGTATGGGGATGGCGGGCGGCTGTCAATGGGCGCGGGAGTTAACAGCTGGCTGACGGAGGGAAGTTGTTCACCCTTCGAGCTGCTGGGCAGAACGCCTCCGGGGCCGTTCCGCTCTCCTGTGCTCCGCTGGTGTAGAAATGGGTCCGATCCAAATTGTAAAGACGGTGTGGTGCGAGGCGGCGGGAGCTGGTATGGATGAGATCCAGGGACTGGCAAGTTAGTGGAATGATCGGGTTCTCGCTCGGAAGCTCCGCCGCTTAGAGGTAACATACGCCCAAAAGGTCCCACGTAGTAGTTCGACATGTCGGGTGGGTGCCGTTGTAGGTCGAGATAAACTGCCAGGATGACTATTGTTCCAGGGCCAGTAGCATAACCGCAAATTCCAGGAGTCCACGAGAAAGAATCCAGCCAAAAGAAGGACCAGAAGAGCACCGGTTCGAGGGAACAGGCTTAGTATTGCGAAGTGGGTATGTCTGTCAATACATCCACACACCTCCTTGCAACACGGTAAAGCGAAAATTTGGCAATCTCAAGCAGATATAGGGAATGAGTGGGTGGTCACGAACGGCCTGATGTTGCCGGTCTCCGGTCGTCCAGGACAACTTGCCAGCCACAGATGTGCTCACGGAGCAACAGGGTGGAGGTTCCGGACGAGGATGAATCAAACGATCGAACGGGAATGCAGGATAGACTTCGAGGTGTCTCTAGAAGACAATGATGTCCGGCTTTCTGCGTGGAGAATATACCGATGGAGCGCCACGGCGTCTGAGTTCAACGCTTCCCATGCACTCGCAGACTGCAAGTAAGAATGTACGACGAGAAGGCAGTGGATGGGTCTAAAAGGCCACAGTCATGGTGCAAACGAGTCTGAAACCCTTCCTTTGCGGAACGAGCTCTCCATCCCAGGGGGCCTGCAGGATCCCAGTTGATCGTCGGGAGCATCCAACAACGAATGAATGGCGATAGAGAATGATTGCAACCGGATGGCTTCCACCGGGATCATGCCCAAACCAACAACGAACCAGGAGCGAGTAAGTTCTTCTGGACAAGGAAGAAACAGCGAGCGTGTTGTCCGACTGCAGATTGCGGTAAGGTCAGAAAACGAGGGTGCAATGAAGAGGACTAGGAAGTTAAAAATAAAATAAAATAATATAGATAAAAAAAAAAAAGAGGGAAGGGGAAAAAAAGAAAATAACACATGAAAGGAACAGGCCGTTTGTCGACAACAGACGGGACTCCGTGTCCAGGTAGGACAATCGACAACCAAGGAGGATTTCTTTCTTTGTCCCTTTCTAGTAATGCTGTCTCGGTTGTCTTTTGGCCTCTTTCATTTACCCTGTCTAACAGGGAGGGAAAATGGTTTGATACGCCTGTTGGGCAACCCCCATAAAGTCCTCGGAACCGCATGTACGTACCTAGTGGCTTCGCCTGGCTTGGGAGAGAGTTGCCGCGAACAAGGAGCAATCAACCCGAGAAAGGTAGCGTTGGGGGACAAGGCCTGAATTGACCAAGTTAAGAACGCGAGAGGATGATTTGCTCGCTAGTTGGAAAGGGATTTTTGCCGGCCAAGTGTCCTCGAAAGCTGACGATGTGCGCTTGTCCCGAGATCCCTGTAGGAGGGACCAGGGCGAAGTGGAGAATGGGAGGCAGAAAGAAGACCAGGCCTCGATGGGGAAAAAGGAGAGAGCGAAGGACGCCCCAGAGGAGAAAAAGAAGCCCGAGAGTGGAGTGAGCGATGACACCGGCAGATGGGAGAGTCGGCAAAGAAAGGAAGAGAAGGGAGGAAAAGAAGCAATGCTGAGAGGAGGATGTGAAGGAGGGGGCTATCGAGAGATTCTGAACAATAACGATCGAACAAAATCAAAAGGAAAAAATCCCAACGCTGATGGTAGGTACTAAAATAGGATGGGCAAAAAAATAAATGTTTATCTTATGCATTTTTATATGGATCATTCCTGGTAATAATAATAATTCCTATTATCATCCTCGCTGTCGACCTACTCCGTACGTACTCCGGAGCAGTACCTAGGTAGATCCTACCTGGGTCAGCCCCATTCTGGAGGAAATCAATCCCAAGCATACTAAACAATCCTGAGGATGATCATCTGGGAAGGGTTCATTCCTTCATCATTCATGTCTGAGAAACCCAGCTAGTGCGACTCCTCTGGTTCTCTCCAGAGTTGGGACCGAATCCACCACCGGTGGACTAACGGTTCTCAGCCCGCATCCTCTGGGCGGGCTATATCGACGGTCGACCCATCCAGTCGAGCTGGATCGATGCTCTCGAGCCTTCAGGATCTCACCATGACCGAACAGAACGCCACAGTGTCAGTGCTCCCAACGGTCTAGAAGTCATCAGATCTACTCCCGCGTGCAATTGTTGACACGATGGATCAGATCATCAACACCAGCATCAGCATCACCCAGGTAGAATGTTGGATCTCAAACAGAAGCACCAGCAGCGTGCCACAGCTTCCCTCTCCGGCTTGAACCAGTCCCCTCGCAAGGACTAGCCAACTTAATCGTCGGCCCAAATCATGCCATGGGAGAGATGGACAGGATGGAGACGTTATCCTTTAGTTCAGGTGGATCCTCGCCCAGAGCCGAACTGAGCCTTTTTCTCCTATACTCCGTACCTCTGGCTTTTATTATTATTATTATTTTTATTTTTATTTTCTGATGAGTTTGACTTTACATCAACCGTCCTCTTAATTAAGTTAAGTTTTTTTCTTTGCAACGCATGCCCCGCAGGAATAACCGCTTTGGTCGACGGTGTTCGGAAAGTTCCTGTCCCATCTCCATGCCAGGTGATTAATCAATCCCCTATGAAACATGGAAACGGAAAGGGGAGAGGAGGATATCCTCGGGACGGCAGTTGAAAAATAACCTTGTTTCGATGCACGAGGAATTCTCAATCAACCTCCTTTCATTTCCCTGGGAGATCACATGGGGCTCCTCCGGCTTCCAACAGCGATCCGCCCAATTCAGTCCGCAGCATGCAGGGAACGGTTTCAGAAGACCCAAAGAGGTACTGACAGATGAGTACTCGCAGTAGCCGCAGGATACGGGTGAACTCTAAGGAGAATGCTCGTCTGTCTTGTGCAGAGTTCTCTTAGGGGAATTGGATGAGCATAGCATAGCATTTTTTGAGTTCCACCTCATCAACCCAAAGAAAGTTCATTCTTTCAGTTGTTTTCCCAGTCAGAGAACATTTTTTTTAACCCCTTCCAAATCAAAAGCCCCCCCCCCCCCCCCCCCCCCCTTATGGACAGAGCCTGCGTGTGTACTCCCGTAGCCCAATCCCGAATCCTTCGGCCGATGCGGCACTCCACGCAGGGACGACTCGGACAAATTCCTTGCCTGTGGTGCCGGCGGACGCTCCCCACGGTGTCCACATCTGTCTATCTGTGATTGCGAGGGAAATAAAAATAACTACTCCGATATAATAAAAGAACTCAACCTGAGCCTAGGCACGATCCGGGTCGAGGCAAAAGCTGCACGCGTTCCTCCGTCTATCGAGGATCGTTGGCCTGCTATTCGCGGGGTCTCGGCACCAAGTGGGCTGGGCGCCGCCGAAAAAAAAAAGAGGGTCCCATCGGTTTAGCCTCGTTTGCAATTATTATTCTTGTCGTGCGGTGGGTGTGGATGATCCTCTTCGTAACGGTGCGGATACCGGACAACGCCCGTGTGTCGGCCGTCGTCGTTATGAGTACCTACTATAGTGGTTACCTAGTTTGTACCTAGGTAGCGAGTTAACTAGTTAGTGACTGTCCGACTGTCTCATGTCTGGCGATCCGATCTGCAAGCCGTCCATGCTCGGACACCGTTGTGCCTATACTACGTACATTTTATTCTTGAGAAAAAGGCAACTTAATTAATTCGATGTCGATTCAATAATGTCGTGTTTCGTCATTGTTAATATGAATCTACAACCCCGTCACTTGGACAGATATGTGGACATCATACGATCAGATCTTTTAAACGACGGAAATACCATCGCCGGGAAAAGGTCCCACGGATCGATCTCCATCTGCCGAACCACAAAAGGAGGGAAGTCAAACGAAAGCGAAAAAGCAAAAAGAAAATAATAATAATAATAAGAGCGAGAAAAAAAAAATTAAAAAAAAGAAAGGAAAAACACCCGCGGCTGATCATTGGCGCGATCAACTCAGATCGTTAATTTTTCCGAACATATGCCGAGAGTCTGAGGGCCCCTGTACCGTGTACCATCCATAGTAACTACACAGTAATGCACACCATGCATGTGTACCTGCTACCTAGGTCCGGCCCACCCGCAGGCATGCATTCAGAGTAGTAGAGAGTACGTACGGAGTACAGCAATTTCCGCGGACAGGCAGTGCGCCATGAACATCGTCATATACCACCCCTGTCGCGGTACGAACCATCCCTCAGCCTCAAACGCCAGCTGTAACGAGACGATCCTGGTCTCCCGTGCATCAGGATTTGTCCGGGAAAAGGTAGATCTCACCACTACCGAGCTTCGGTATCTACGTCCGGAGGGAGGTCCGTATTGAGATAGGCACTGGATCATTGATGAAAGAGAGACAGGGAAAAGGGGGCAATCCTCGAACGCAATATAATTCCAATCCGCCCCCTTCATGGTTCAGATTCCGATAGGATGACTTAGCGCCGTCCCATCTGAAACATAATATATACAGGCGGGACCCAGGGCCCTCGACGAGGATGCGAGCCTTGACATGCTTTGTCCACTGCGCATCATGCATGCATGCTCCGGAGGGCAAAGGTAGCTACTGCTAGTTAACTAGTTAGTAGGTAGTTAGGGACCTCCCTAACTAGCCGACCTGGGTTCGGGGCGCCGGCAGAGAGGGATCATCCCTGCACAGACTCCCTGACCAGCCCCCTCGTAACCAACACACGGAGGAAAAAGAAAGCCTGCAATGCGACCATGGCTGCAGATCACCGCGCAAGCGACACACGAGTGACAGGTGGACGACTGTAGGAGTAGTTAGTATAGTATGCAGCAGTAAACGAGCTCGGCTCCGGAAGTTACATCCAGGGGTCAGGGAGTTATCGGCCGCGATCAATTCGATAGTTCGAAAGCTTATAAGCGCCAACCCATGGTGTAAGTGGAAAGGGTGGGGTATTTCGGCCCTCGAAAGGAAAGGTAGGTATCCATTTGAGGCCCTCCACGGAGCAGAGATGTACTCCGTACCTCAGGCGGATACCTCGGTAAGTCGTGTGGCGAGAGGACACTTGGTATCTTGCCTTGTTTGTAGGCTGAGATATCTCCCCTCCGATCATTCTAGATGGTGGATGGATGT